TCACAGTCAGCAGACACATTCCAGCCAATCAGCAGCAGACCCTCCCTCCCAGACCCTCCCACCTCCTGGACAGCTCACTAAGAATGCAGCTTCACAATGAATGTAAAATGGATGCTGTCCAGGAGGTGGGAGGGTCTGGGAAGGAGGGTCTGCTGCTGATTGGCTGGAATGTGTCTGCTGACGGCGAACCGTTTGTGAACCGTTTGGCGAACAGTTCGGGACATCACTAGTAGCAAATACAAAATGTCTGTTTTCTTAAATTAGCAGTCTTTTGTTAGTAGTGCAGAAAATAAAGAGAATGTTTCAGCACCTGTTTCTTTGTCAAGTCTTAACAAGGTACGGAGAGGTTCCGAAATGTCTTTTTTTTCCCTGCACTTCTAACTTAAGACTACCTATTTAAGAAACCATCGGTTGTGCCCAGACAATTGTACTTGCAATGCTGAGTGACTGAGTGTATGACAGAGCTCCACAACAATAACATGCTCAGTAATTTGCAGTGTGTATCACAGAGCTCCCTCATATTTTATCATTCTCTAATAATATATATTATCATATATGTTCTCCCCAGTCTGACTATTGTTCCACCTATACAAACCTTACATTTACAATTCTATAGTCAATTTTCACAGTTTTGTGATTAGCAAATAAACCTCTGATCAGTAGATTACATATTTTAAAAGCCTTTGAAATAAATGATAATCTCATTTAATGTATTTAGATGTGGTTCTTGCAGGGCTTAGTTGTCAGTGCCCTAAAACCTTTCAAAGGAAATTAACATTCGATAGAAAGCTCTATGAATGCTGCTTTGTCGGAACAATATTATTTCACTGCAGAAAAGGGCCCTATTTATCCAAAGCCCCTAGTAATTAATAACTGCTGCTATACGTAATTGGTCTTTCTTGGTATATTTCTTAAGGCAAAATTAAAAATGAAAAAATGCTGTTTGATCTCAGGCGCACAGCAGAGAGACTGGTTCCTACGTCATCAAATACTATTGGTAACTACCCTGTTTCACTGAAAATAAGACATTCCCGAAAATAAGCCATAGCTTATTTTTGGGGGATGCTCGTAATATAAGCCACCCCAAAAGTAAGCCCTTGTCGCTAGTTAGCTAATCTATTTTCGGGGAAGTTTCCGCAAACATATATTTGCGGGATTCCATGCCCTAGTGAACTGATCTACATTCCTCCGAATGTAGACCTGCTTTCTAGCACATGCTTGCTACTATTTCCCCCAAAATAAGACATACCCTGAAAATAAGCCCTAGTACAGGGGAAAAATTAATATAAGACCCGGTCTTTATTTCGGGAAAAGATGTTTTGTTTTTTTTAAATAACAGACATAAAAAATAAAGATTCTCTATCATGCCAAAATGTATAATTTTTTTAAATGCAAGTGTTTTTTAAATCATGATAGGGAGGCTATTAAAGGACCACTATAGTGCCAGGAAAACATACTCGTTTTCCTGGCACTATAGTGCCCTGAGGGTGCCCCCACCCTCAGGGACCCCCTCCCGCCCGGCTCTGGAAAGGGGTAAAACTTACCTTTTTCCACCGCTGGGCGGAGAGCTCTCCTCCTCCGATCCTCCTCTTCTCCTCCCGTCGGCTGTATGCGCACGCGCGGCAAGAGCTGTGCACGCATTCAGCCGGTCACATAGGAAAGCATTCATAATGCTTTCCTATGGACGCTGGCGTGCTCTCACTGTGAAAATCACAGTGAGAAGCACGCAAGCGCCTCTAGTGGCTGTCAATGAGACAGCCACTAGAGGAAATAGGGGAAGGCTTAACCCATTCACAAACATAGCAGTTTCTCTGAAACTGCTATGTTTATGAAAAAATGGGTTAACCCTAGAAGGACCTGGCACCCAGTCCACTTCATTAAGCTGAAGTGATCTGGGTGCCTAGAGTGGTCCTTTAAACTTAAATGCATTCACTTCCTGCTTATAAAGAAATTCTTCCCCATGCTGGCCTGGACAAAATTTATAAACCTGGGTTTTATTAAATTAATCTGAATTGGTTTGAAAGTCACCTGGCACCATCCCTTGGTTTACAGAAAAGTAGACGATCTTGTCTTAGTAAAATGTAAATGTTATTTATTGTACACCCTCCCTGGATGTGTGCTATTGTTGGCTTCACACATGGTAATCGAAAAAATGTCTCAATGAGGAATTATACCCAGAAATCAGCAACCTTTCTTTAAAAAGAACTCTAAAATTTGTAACTATTTCATAATAGCAAAAAGAGTGCAATCACCAACGCAAAAGGCATCGCCTCAATGTATGCAAGATGTGTAGAGGAACTCGCTCTCCAGGCAGAGGGGAGAGCTTAAACCTATATGACGATATGGACACGTTTGAGCAGAACCTCCTCCCCATCTTGTCCCTGTCAGTATTATTTTGTATGTCAATTACTTGTATCAAACAGCCTCATTTTAGAATTGGAAGCACTGTGGAAAAGTGGAACTGGGGTCGATAGGGATCAGAACAGTTTGGATACTACTCTCTTAAAGGGACACTCTAGGCACCCAGACCACTTCAGCTCCCTATTGCCCTTAGTTCCAGAAAAACTGCAATGTTTATATTGCAGCACTAAGTCAGCCTCTAGTGACGGTCTACCAAACAACCACTAGAGGGCTTCTGGCATCCCCTATAGGGAGGTCTAATGCGCTTGTGGCATTTGCCGCACATGTTCATTAAAGCCTGCTCAAATCGGGACGGAGGAGGAGAAGCTTCGACCCAGTGCCTAGGGACATCGGCGCTGGGATCAGGTAAGTAAATAAAGGGTTTTTAACCCTTTATTTACCAGGAAGGGGGAATGGTCCACCCTCTTTCCATTCTAGTTTCCCGTTTGCTCCCATCCATCTCTCCTTTTCTCCACCATGTTTGCATGACCCTCCCGCCACTCCATATTTTCAACAATTTCCTTTTCTTTTTTTCCTATTTTCTCTCCCCCTGATGGCAGTGGCGGATCCGGGGAGGGGGGCAAAGGGGCAATTGCCCCCCGAGAACACCGACGGTCTCCCTCTCCCCTGCCAGCACATGCAGGCGCCAGCCCTGCAATGTGCCTTCGCGGAGATCTTCCGTCCCGGTCCGCAGACACAGTGCTGGCAGCCGGTGGGGGGAGGGAGTGAGAAAGGACCCGGGAGCTCAGCCTGCAGCTCCTCCGGGTCCTACTCACGCGAGCACGGAGCGTTGCCGCGGTTACCTCGCAAGAGTGAACTCTAGCCCTGGAGCTATGGACTAGAGTTCACTCTCCCCACTGTGCCACCAGGGAATCCCCACCAGACCACCAGGGATCAAGAAATGTCCCCCTTCCTCCCAGTAAAGGTAAGAAGGGAGGGGGGACATAATGAATATTTATTTTAATTTAAAAAAAAATATTATAGAAAAAAAAGCACCCCAACCCTTCTTATCACACATACACATACTCTACACAGATACACTACCCCCATACACACACAATGCCCCCCATACACACACACTGCCCCCATACACATAAACTGCCCCATACACACACACTGCTCCCCATATACACACACTGCCCCCATACACACACACTGCCCCCATACACATACACTGCCCCCATACACACACACTCTACACACATACACTACCCCCATACACACACACACTGCTCCCCATACACACATTGCCCTACACATACACTGCTGCCCCATAAACACACATTGCCCACACTCACACATACACTGCAATCCTCTCACACACACTGCAACTGTTACACACACATACTGTTCCACACATAGACTGCATCCCTGACATACACTGCCGCCCTCACTCACACACTACAACCTTCACACACACACACACTGCTCACACACTGTCCCCCTCACACACACACACACACACGCACTGCACCCCTTACACATTGCACCACTCACACACACCACTGCTCCTATGCCCTACTACAGCCCCATTTCCCAGCAGGTAAGTTGTCAAACTGTTCTTAAACTGAACTGTAGTGGTTATTGTGTCTGGATTATTTCTTTAAATAATCTACAAGTGCCCCTCCCGAGATCAGGCACTGCCTGGTGGGCCCTCTTTATTTACAGGCCTACCCTATCGTCGGTCCCGGCACACCACAACTGAGTTGCTCTTTTATACTATCTTACGCTTATACTGGAACTTTACTCCTTATACGGCTATGTGCCCCTAACACAAATATATATATATATTTATATAAATGTAAAACTTTTCTAATAAAAATAAGTTTTGTAACAAAGGCAGCCGGCATATTTCCTGTAAGGAGACAACAAATGACTGGAAATGGGAACAGCGCTCTCTTGGCTGGTCGGTGAAAAGAAGCAGGCCTTCGCAAAAAGTTGACTGTCGTTCGGGAGGTCGAGTGTCGATTTGGAGTTCCAGACACTCGACGACCAAGTCCCGCTGCCTCTTTTCGTGCAACAAGATGGCCGCCGTTTTCTCCAGCACGTGGCGTTCCACCATACGAAAGGGAGCCACACAGGGAGAGCTTTTAATCTTGTGGTTTTCTTTATAGTTAATAAGCCTGGGTGTGGTCGGTGTTCGGCAGTTTTATCTATCGAAGTAGAAAAAAATTGAGTTTGCGAACCAAAGGATGTAATTTCTTCAAAAGACAAGACAACTAAAGGGTGCACCAAAACTGACTGTAGTACAGCTAATAGTAAGCAAAGTCCAAGATCAAATGGTAAATCTTAAAAGGAAAAAACCTTAAAAAAAGAGAGATACCAAAACAAAGTCCTAAATTATACCTGATGGTCAGCCAACGGCCGGAGTAGGGGAATATTATCTGTATGGAGCAAATGGAGATGGCTTCTTTAAGCTCTACTACACGTGAGTATGACTACTATAGACTTTATCTTCCTGTTATCCACCTTCTGTATTAGACGTATTGCACCATTATCTTCTCCTCTTTTCACATACGGATCCAAAGAAGCCGTCTCCATTTGGTCCATATAGAGAATATTCCCCTACTCCGGCCGTTGGCTGACCATCAGGCATAATTTAGGACTTTATTTTGGTATCTCTCTCTTTTTTAAGGTTTTTTCCTTTTAAAATTTACCCTTTGCTTACTATTAGCTGTAGTTGCCTTGTCTTTTGTACTATCTTGTTAATAGGGCCTGGAGGGAACCCTATTTCTAGGTTTGCTGCCTTTTATTCTCCTCATTTATAGTGTTGGTTTATTTTAGCGCTGTTCCCTCTGTTCGTGCTGTTCTATTCTGTCATTTCTTCACACCCTCCTTTTACTATTTATCTCTAACTTACAACAAGAACAAAAAGTCGCATTGAAAAATATTGGTTGAAAGCACCCAAAAAATATTAGAAGGTTTTACAATCACGCACCTGACAAAGCAGTGTTAACTTCTACTGAAGGTAATTAGGTGTGGAACAAATCAGATATCGGTTAACTACTGTCTGAGATCAGAGATTGTTATCTATGAGAAGTTCATTATTTCTGAAGAAGAGATTCAGTGTAACCGTTATCGTGTGTGCTTAGTGATAGGCTTGTTTATAACCATGAAACACTGACTGTGGTTGTGCAATAATTATGGTTTTATCACTTGGTTAGATTAGCAGTGTAACCATGCAACTGGAATTCACTGACTGTAAAGCAATTAAATTTGGTAGGCAATAAAAACATAATTTAATGCAGGTAAACTCTTTCAGTGATGTCACACTCTGATTGATCGCATTCCATCTGACTCGTTACCTGTCACAGCAATGAATGAAATATATATTACCAGTCTCGTCTGTATAATATATAACTGTTACTAAGGACAGAAACACAGCAGATGATTTTTTTTGCATTTTATGTCGCCTTTGCAGCGACAATATCTTTAAAAAGTTAAGCATATCTATTTATCTATGAAACATTTCTAAAATATATATTTTATCTGATTTACGTTACTTCCTGTTTGATTAATACTATTTGTATGTGTCCCTCTTCTCCCTGTTTAAATTTAATTTGACGTCATCCCGCCACCCCCATGACACCTACGAGTGGACAGCGGAAGGGATGGGGCTAATAGCCAAGGAAGACGGAATAACAGCCTATCAGCACTGAGAGGCGGGGCCAAGGCACAGCCAGCCTTAAAGGGCAATTACCATCAAATTATTGTTATTTTTTAAATAAATTATTACATGTAATGAAACGTAATGAGTTTTTTTTTTTATTATTAAGTATATTGAAAATTCAACATCTATCAACTGTTAGTCTTCCAGTCACCAGAGCAGGTGTAGGCAACCTTCGGCACTTCAGATGTTGTGGACTACATCTCCAACAATGCTCTTACAGCTATAATACTGCCAAAGCATCATGGGAGGTGTAGTCCAAAACATCTGGAGTGCCTAAGGTTGCCTATCCCTGCACTAGAGGCATGTTATCAGACAAAACATGTTTCCCATTGTCCCAGAAATACTCCAATACAGTATGACATAGTGCTTTTGGTGGTCAGTGCCCCTTTAACCCCTTAAGGACTGAGACAAATGTACATGTTTTGATCAAAATAAAACGTAAACAAAACTTGGAATTTGACTATATGTCTGTTCAACCGTAATTCACCTCTTTCATATTAAGTGCACCCACACTTATTACATATCCTTTTATTCAGGAGAAATGGTGCTAACATCAAGTATTTAGCTATAAAACATAATTTAATATGAATTAAATATTAAAAAATTTGAGAAATTAATAAATATTGTTATTTCTTTAGTTCTACGTGACATTTTAACTGTGAATGTCATATTACTGTTTGCTTTTACTGCAATAAAATACACATATTTGTATTCAGCGATGTCTCACGTGTAAATCAGTACCCCCTATGTACAGGTTTTATGGGGTTTTGGGAAGTTACAGGGTCAAATCTAGCATGTTACATTTTTCTGTTTTTTCACATTGAAATTTGCCAGATTAGTAATGTTTGAGAGCGTATGATAGCTCAGGAATGAGAATTGCCCCCATGATGGCATACCATTTAAAATAGTAGACAACCCAAGGTATTGCAAATGGGGTATGTCTAGTCTTTTTTAGTAGCCACTTAGTCACAAACACTGACCAAAGTTAGCATTAATATTTGTTTGAGTGTGAAAAATGCAAAAAACTAATTTAAACGCCAACGTGTAAACACCAACGGATATCAAATAGGAAACATCTGTGCAGAGAAAGTGGGATTTTTTTTATATACCTTTTTCTTTTCTAAAATAAAGAATTTCTCTAAAAAAAAATTTAGAAAAATATTAGATTTAAAATGAGCAGGTTTTATTTACTGTGCCAAAATTAATATAAATTTAAACTTCAACTGTTATCCAGGATGTGAGTAAGTTGCTAAAAAAGCCAAAGCTTGCATTGAAACATTCAGTAAAGTCCACGCCCAAATGCACTTCCTATTTAAAAGAAGTCACATTTCCTTAACCAGGTCAAACATGGTAAATATAAACTTTCGTTAGGAATTGCAATAAAACATCGCTTTCCTGCGGGCGGTTCATTATTCAAAAAGATCTCTTTTCTTAATAGTGTTTTTTATCTAGACAGGTTAAGGGAAATCATTACAAATTAAATCCTCTATGTAGATAATGCCAGTCGGCACTGCCGCCGATTTCACGCACTGCGTCACCAAATATGGAGCTGTGCTGCTCTTCTCTAGTTAAAAAAAAATAAAGAAAATAAGTAGTGTTGCTTTAAGGAACTATCTTACAAAATGTGTTTACTCACATACTGGTGAATGCAGCACCTTGACTTATTTACCCTGGAGTGCGGTGTTTTTTTTTACATTGATACAGCTGTTTTTCATCGCCACTTGGCTCTAAATGAGAGAAAGTCAATGAGACAATGGCTGGCCACCCCGAATCCAGGCGTATGTTTTGATTTAGTGATAATTTTGCTAATATTTGGATGAACATTGGTAACATTACGAGCGGTTGTTGGCCAAGCTTTCTCTTCAGACATGGTTTATTCTGGAGACTCGAGCTGGGTTTCACATTGGACAATTTTAATATTTTAAAAATTATTAAATGTTATTTCAGCACCAGTAAGCAGGACAAAACGTACTGAGTCAGCATCTGTGTGCACTAAGCCTTTTGGTACAGTCAAAACATGGTTAAATCCTTGTGAGCAGTTACACTGCTGTTAACCCTTTCCATTGTCGTGCTCAAATCTCTGTCAGCACTCACTATGTAGTTTAACCCCTTAAGGATGGTGGTAAGTGTCCAATAGTGATGTCGCGAACCGTTCGCGAACTTCCCGCGAACAGCTCGCCACGAACCGTTCGCGGCGAGCTCCGGTCAGCTGACACATCCTGGCCAATCTCCAGCAGACCCTCCCCCCGAGACCCTCCCACCTCCTGGACAGCATCCATGTTGAAGCTGCCTTCAACATGGATGCTGCCCAGGAGGTGGGAGGGTCTGGGAGGGAGGGTCTGCTGGAGATTGGCCAGGATGTGTCAGCTGACTGGAGCTCGCTGCGTCCGTTCGCAGGAAGTTCGCGAACGGTTCGCAACATCACTAGTGTCCAACCTCTGAAACATAACAAAACCTTTACAATTTGAGCTATATGTCTATTCACCCATAATTGACCTATTTCATATTAAGTGCACCCACACTAATTAAATATCATTTTGTTCAGAAGAAATAGGGCTTTCATTTCATTGAATATTTATATATGGAGCACAAATTAATATGAATAGTATTTTTTTTTTAGGAAATGTAATTTTTAAAGTTCTGTAGTTCTTTTAACTGTGAATGTCATTATACAGTTAGCGTTTATTGCAATAACACACCCATATTTGTATGCTGTGATGTCCCACGAGTACAAGGATGCCCCACATGCACACGTATTATGATGTTTTGGAAAGTTAAAGACTCAAATACAGGGCTTACCTATTTCAGCTTTTACACATTGAAATTTGCCAGATTGGTTTGCCTATGTTGCCTTAGAGACCATTTGGTAGCCCAGGAATGAAAATTAACCCCATAATGGCATATCATGTTCAAAAGAAGACAGCCCAAGGTATTCAAAATGTGGTATGTCTAGTATTTTTAGTAGCCACTTAGTCATAAACTCTGGAAAGTTCGTGTTCATTATTTGTTTTTTGCATTTTTTTTACACAAAAACTACTTTTACTGATGATATCACAATCATTATACGTTTTACTGCTTTAAAACACTAATATTTGTGTACAGCAATGTTTTACGAGAACAACCTGCATGTACAGGTTTTATGGGGTTTTGGTAAGTCCCAGGGTCAAATACAGGGCTTGCAAATTAAATTATCTGGTATTTCTAAATACATTTAGAATCAAATCACACACACAAACAGTACACACACACACACACACACACATACAGTACACACACACACACACACTTACAGTACTCACCTCCTCCAGCCAGTAACTGCAACACGTATCCCACCCTCCACTCCCAATTTTCAGAACATTTTTCTCACCTACTTCCTAAGGTGGGCCCTCTTTATTTTACAGGCTTACAGGTAGGTTGGTTTCAGCACACCTCAACCAATTTACGTATATTCCCATGTTATGTTTATTATGTTATATTTATTTCTCATAGCTTATGGCATTTTGCGACCCGACCACAAATAAATATATATATATATATATAACTTTATACATTACCTGTATACACCAGCACATACACTGAGATATGATACTAGTATACACAAGCATATACACTGAGATATGATACTAGTATACACCAACATATACACTGAGATATGATACTAATATATATACCAGCATATACACTGAGATATGATACTAGTATACACCAGCACATACACTGAGATATGATACTAGTATACACCAACATATACACTGAGATATGATACTAGTATACACCAGCACATACGCTGAGATATGATACTAGTATACACCAACATATACACTGAGATATGATACTAGTATATATACCAGCATATACACTGAGATTTGATACTAATATATATATGAGCATATACACTGAGATATGATACTAGTATACATCAGCATATACACTGAGATATGATACTAGTATACACCAGCATATACACCGAGATATGATACTAATATATATACCAGCATATACACTGAGATATGATACTAATATATATACCAGCATATACACTGAGATATGATACTAATATATATACCAGCATATACACTGAGATATGATACTAGTATACATCAGCATATACACTGAGATATGATACTCGTATACATCAGCATATACACTGAGATATGATACTAATATATATACCAGCATATACACTGAGATATGATACTAGTATACACCAGCATATACACCGAGATATGATACTAATATATATACCAGCATATACACTGAGATATGATACTAGTATACATCAGCATATACACTGAGATATGATACTAGTATACATCAGCATATACACCGAGATATGATACTAATATATATACCGGCATATACACTGAGATATGATACTAGTATACACCAACATATACACTGAGATATGATACTAGTATACATCAGCATATACACTGAGATATGATACTAGTATACACCAACATATACACTGAGATATGATACTAATATATATACCAGCATATACACTGAGATGATACTAGTATACACCAGCATATACACTGAGATATGATACTAATATATATACCAGCATATACACTGAGATTTGATACTAATATATATATGAGCATATACACTGAGATATGATACTAGTATACATCAGCATATACACTGAGATATGATACTAGTATACACCAGCATATACACCGAGATATGATACTAATATATATACCAGCATATACACTGAGATATGATACTAGTATACATCAGCATATACACTGAGATATGATACTAGTATACATCAGCATATACACTGAGATATGATACTAATATATATACCAGCATATACACTGAGATATGATACTAGTATACACCAGCATATACACCGAGATATGATACTAATATATATACCGGCATATACACTGAGATATGATACTAATATATATACCAGCATATACACTGAGATATGATACTAGTATACACCAACATATACACTGAGATATGATACTAGTATACATCAGCATATACACTGAGATATGATACTAGTATACACCAACATATACACTGAGATATGATACTAATATATATACCAGCATATACACTGAGATGATACTAGTATACACCAGCATATACACTGAGATATGATACTAGTATACATCAGCATATACACTGAGATATGATACTAGTATACACCAGCATATACACTGAGATATGATACTAGTATACACCAACATATGCACTGAGATATGATACTAGTATACACCAGCATATACACTGAGATATGATACTAGTATACACCAGCATATACACTGAGATATGATACTAATATATATACCAGCATATACACTGAGATATGATACTAGTATACATCAGCATATACACTGAGATATGATACTAGTATACATCAGCATATACACTGAGATATGATACTAATATATATACCAGCATATACACTGAGATATGATACTAGTATACACCAACATATACACTAAGATATGATA